GGTAGTTTAGAAGTTACAGGATTGTGGAGGTGCGAGGTGGAACACATGGGGCCTTTGGATTTAGCTCACATGTGCACCACTCTCTCATGTCTGGGGTGTGGAGTCCATGGGGCCCACACACCACACTTATGAGGTGGCACACACACAACCCCCTGCCACTCATCTCCTCCCTTCTTGTTTTTTTATTTTATTTTTAAAAAGTGTTTTATTAAAGAAGGATATCTAGTGTAATCTTTTTTGACACCTTATTTTGTGGGAGTTAAGATATTTTGTTTTTTAAAATATCCTTCGTATCTTTGACCAAATCTTTTATCTTTTGTTGACTTCCTATAGTCTTGTAAGAGAAAAGGGAAGTTCTAGAAGTTTGTTTTTGATCAATCTTATCTTAGGTTGACTAGAAGTGGATATGGTTCAAAGATCCAGGAGATAAGGTTCTTAGATTCCTTCCTAAGACATGATGGCTAATTCATGGAATGGAAGACTTAGTTTATTCCTCTCTCACCTCACATATTACCTAAATTCTTATTAGACATGATGAGTCATAAATTGAATAGGCATGCCTAGCCCTTTAGGCCTAATATAGGAAGGGACCCCCTCATTCTCTACACCACCTCCTAGCCTCTCTCTCCACACCATCCTTCTCTCTCTCTCTCTCTCCCCCTCTCTCTAGTGACGAAAAGGGTGTCACACCACCCAAAGATATTAGAGAGGGGCACGCCCAGCCTCGAGTAATACCAAGGGAGGTGCCATATGTGGCATGCTCTAAGAGGTCCAAAATGGGGTCTAAGAAATCCTAATCTTGTTTATGCTCTCAAAACCCTAGATTTGAAAGGTATTGCCTAAGGAAGCTTTCCACTCAGAAATTCAGCAGGGCCAATAAGATTAGAGTGTGGTATCGGTTAGGTAATCGGGTGTGGGGGCGGTTAGCAAACTCAAGTAAGTCTTCTTGTTTCTCTAAGTTTATTTTCATGCCATTATTTTTCAGATTTATTGCAATTTCCAGGAACATATTTGTATTGGAATTCTTAGTTTAAGCTTGTATTTAATCCCTAGATTGTGTCTATTCTATTTGGCAGTAAAAGGAAAGATCGTAGGTTGTATTTAAAGTTTTATTTTGTGTTTACAACGTTTTGTAGCAGTTGTAAGTAGAATTGAGATATATTAATAAAAGAAAAGACAAAATGTTTTATTATACTCCATCCAGTTCTTTCAAAAACAAGTAATTACTAAAGACTGATATCTTAAAACTGTAAAAATAAAATCTAAACCCTTGAAAAATCAAAATAAATAGGTGAAAAACATTTTAACAATTCTAAAGTACTTTGTCATTGCAGTAAAAATACCAAATATCCTTCTACATAATAGGTATTTTAAAAGAGTTTTAGGTTCTTGACATGGGTATAACTATGTTGACTCTTTCTGCAAATCATTTTACAAACTCTGACTAGAATGGAGCACTGTGCATGTTCTTTCACACTCTAAAGTTATATTACACATACATATCTTCAGACCATGCTCATCATCCATCAAAGCAGGTGGCACCCGCGCCTCTAGTCTCAATCTGGTTAATTTCAACAGTCATGGCTCACGTCTATCACACCATGAAACCTGCGTGCTTGTAATCAAAGTCATAGTTTATGATTCCTACTGGACACCCATACCAAGAGTCCTTAGGTTGTAAAATTGTTTCTGGCATTGTTGGCTGGGATTGTAGATGCCCACTATGCTAGTGAAAAGCTCTTTGTAGTAGCAGTCCCCCACTCTAGGCCAAGGTCACATCTGCTCGCAAGTGTGAGTAGCAGCTGTCACATAATCAAGTCCTACATTCGGAGATTCACCTATGCCTCCTCAAGGACCAGATCGCTTGTGGGTTTCTCTGTGAATACCAGTCAACCACAACATCCTAGCTGTTTGAGGAAAACATGCTAAACACAACATATATTGGTCAACCCCTATTTGCACACTCCATATACTAGTGCTCCAGCACTAGCTATTCGTAACCATGGGAATAAAAATATGCACATTAAATGCACGCCTAGCAAGAAAAGAAAATCCAAGAGAAAATGCCTTTGATGGCCACAATCTTCACATATCTCCCACTTGGCATCAAAGTCCATTTGATAAATCCCTAAGCCCCATGGCTTAAACATGTCTAGTGAAAAAATCTGCTCCCAGAGTTTTAGTTAGTGGATCTGCTATCATCTTTCCAGTGAAAGTAAGAGAAGGTAATGTCCCCATGCTCTATTGCATGCTTTATCAAATGATATTTACAGCTGATGTGCTTTGACTTGAGTAGAATCTGGGGTATTTTTATCAAGGCAACTGCTGAATTATTTTCACAATGTTTTTAGTGGAACAAAAATTGGGTCTACTTTCTTCAAAAAAGTGGGTCTACTACCTTTGAATCTGTGAGCAGCAACCCCAAAGCAACTACTTCTTTCTAAGCTGAGCACCAAGCTAGGTTGGTCAGGGCTGGCCAACCCCCGCCGTGGAGTAGACCCAATACATACGTACAAATGTGTGTGCGTTCGTATGTGTGCTTGTGTTGTGTGTGTGTACGTACGCATGCCATCGATTCATTGACGGTGCCCAAATGGTTTTTTCATTTATCAAAAAAGGCCATCATTGGTAACCTTCGGATAACTTGGCAGCAGCAGAGGGCTGTGCCCTTTACTTCGGTAGCGTGGTCTTTTCTTGAGACTCATAATTACAAACTCAATATTGATGGTGCTTCCTTGAGAAATCCAGGTTTAGCAGGTGGTGGTGGAGTTATCAGGAACAGTGCGGGTGGTTTTATTGCTGCTCTTGCAAAGCATTTTGGTTTTGCTTCTAATAACCATGCAGAATTCTTGGCATTTGAAGAAGGAGTTCACTTGGTTATCCAAAGTAATTGTTTTCCAATCCAGATTGAAAGTGACTCGGCTTTGCTTGTGAATGTCATTCAGAATCGATGCAATGCTCCATGGAGACTAAAGACGATTGTTGAGGAATAGTGCGGGTGGTTTTATTGCTGCTCTTGCAAAGCATTTTGGTTTTGCTTCTAATAACCATGCAGAATTCTTGGCGTTTGAGGAAGGAGTTCAATTGGTTATCCAAAGTAATTGCCCAATCCAGATTGAAAGTGACTCGGCCTTGCTTGTGAATGTCATTCAGAATCGATGCATTGCTCCATGGAGACTAAAGACGATTGTTGACAATTGTTGCACCAGACTGTTTTCTCATCGATGGTCCATTACACATGTCTTTTGTGAGGCTAACATGGATGCTGATGCCCTAGCTAAGAGGGCAGCTGTTGGCCCCGGTGCTACTATGTGGCGCCATAAACCACCAAATTTTTTTCCCTCTCTTTTATTACATGATCTGGCGTAATTGCCCTACCATAGGGTTATATCTTAATTGTTTTTCTCTGCTTTTTTATTAATGAAAAACGGGTAGCGGGCCTTCTCCCCCACTGACTTACAAAAAAAAAATGGTCTATAGTTTTTCATACACCACTTCGCTATTGTATTTTTTGGTCTAAAACTAATCGGAAAATTTCCTTTGTATTGAAGAGAGTCATCTCTTTGTGCTCGATATCGCCATTTTGTATATTTATTGATGGCAATAATATTGTTTTTTAATTGTAGAAAATGGCATAT